CACTGTCTAGATGGATAGTGGACGCTATCGCCTCTGCTTACGCATCTAAATGCCTGCCCTGCCCTCTGGGCATCAGGGCGCACTCCACTAGAGGCATGGCCTCATCGTGGGCATGGTCCTGTGGAATTTCCGTTCATGACATTTGTGTGGCCGCGGGATGGGCCTCCCCGTCCACTTTTGTCAGGTTTTATAACTTGGAAGTTCCCGCCTTACAGGCAAAATTACTAGCTGTCTGACGAACAGCTCTCTAAGAAGCTGCATTTCTGGAGGTCCCTCACAACCGGTTCGCCCCTTGTGCTCTCCTGTAATGCTTATACACTTCATGTGCCCGCTCTGCTGGCCCCATACATGCTTATGTGTACACTTCATGAGCCCGCTCTGCGGCCTCTTTGTACATTCACTCCACGTTAAAAAATTCCCCCGGTATATCCCTGGGTTTTTCATGAGTGGATTCGTAGCGCGCACGGCGTTGGCCAGGTGTTCCCGCAGCGTAAGCTAGCTTACGCAATACGAGAGAACCTCTCGTAAGAGAACGAATCGGTTACCTAACGTAACCTCGGTTCTCTCTAGAAGAGGGAACGAGTATTGCGTTCCCGGCCGTGCTTGCGCTACTAGCGTTTCGCTTCACGCTGAAATAAATCAACATATAAGCCTGGGAGAGCTCCTTATATACACCATGGCCACGCCCATTCTGGCGGGTCATGACGCAATGAGCGCGCGGGCGCCTCTCATTGGAAGCGGGTTCAGCCCCGCTCTCCCATAGGCTTAAGCAGTTCTCTCTGAGCGAACCAATGAGCTGCTAGCTAGCCCGCTCTAGGTCTGCCGCAGAGGAACTGCGTTGTGTATGGATACAAAATTATGAAATAATTTTTTGGCTTCAATATCTCAGCAAAGATGAATCTTTCCCGCAGCGTAAGCTAGCTTACGCAATACTCGTTCCCTCTTCTAGAGAGAACCGAGGTTACGTTAGGTAACCGATTCGTTTTTACATGCATAGGAAACGCATTGGTAGGTTTAGTAATGATGTGGGGTGCGTGTGTATTATACGTTTGGTTAGGATTAGTATGGCAATCCAAGAGGTTCATAATTACGCCATAAATTAATCGCGTTTACAGCCAAACGCCGTCATATACGGCGTTTTAACATAATATGTGTTATATATATATATATATATATATATATATATATATATATATATATATATATATATATATATACCGTATATAGTAAGGGTAGGCTATATAGTAAGCTTGATGTGTATATTGCCTAATTGCAAGCTTGTTCAGAAATGGTGACAAAAACTTAAAATATAACTGCTTTTCCATCATATTGAACATCATTATATGAGTATTAGGTTGAATGAGTTAGAATTAACTGTTTTAAGTACTTTTACTTTTAATACTTAAAGTAAATTTAAAATCAGGTACTTTTTACTTTTTACTTAAGTAGGGTTGTCATTGTGGTACTTCTACTTTTACTAAAGTAAATATGTCTCTGGTTATTAGTACTTTTACTTAAGTACTGAGATTCAGTACTTCCTCCACCACTGGTTTTCCTCAACAATTCACCTTTGGCTAAGCCCCACCCCCCTTAGTTACTGTCGCTATGTCCATCAAGCTATGCCGCTCTCACGCACACACCATGTTCTCAAGCAGTGAAAAATACATCGCGGAGCAGAGAGGAGACTGACAACAGGCTGACAGACCAGGTTACTTTTGATATTAAACATATTAAACAAAGTCTCACCTTTAAAATGGTGACATACGGTGGCGGTAACGTTAGTCACCTTCAAAACTACCACAGCGTGTCTGTAACATTAACGTTAAGTGTTTGTATCTTGAATAACAAAGTTAGCTAACATCCAGCCGCTACTCAAAACATAAATCCTAACTTACGTTAACGTTACGTGATCGCTAAGCTTGCTTGCTAGCACCTTGATTCTTCATTAATTAGAGTAGAGAACCGAAATCATAACCTAACAGCATAACTCTGTCTAACTAGTATAACTTCACAGTAAGGTTAAAAGCAACATTTACTTTAGAGCACACAAGTGAGCTTTTTGAGGGGTTTAGCTGACTGTGAGGACGTCCACACACTTTAATCCAAAGACGACACTTGTCAGGATTTGACTTCGGTTTTGGGAAGGGAAAAAAACGGACACCCCCCTCCAACCTCTCTGGGAAACGCGTATCTGTGTTACAAATGCCCCAGGCACAACGTTTAACCATATTTTTGATAAAACTATGACGGTAATAGCCTGCAGAGACCAAAAATATGCTCCATTGACTGTGTTAAAGTCAATGGAGCGCTGTGAAAAAGTGTCGGACCTCTGTGGGAGCGCGTTCTAGGCTGCGCTGTGATTAGTCAATCTACATTCTAGGGTGTGGCTTAGCCAAAGGCGAATTACACTAATCTAATGACATTTTACAGTGTGAATATATTGTAAATACATTTTTCAATAAATGAAAAGTGGAAATTCCTTATGTATTATTCATTTTATATACACAATATATTAACACAATATAATTTCTCATATTATTCAGTATATTTAGAAAATATTATATATTGATATTGATAAATATATGGAAATATATTTTAATTCCGTATGGGCCATAGGTGATGAGCGGTAGGGGAATTTTAGAATAATGACATTTTATTTAAACTGCAGCTTATTCCACATGGCATCATCACGGCATCACCCCAATGGATTGAGTGAAGACAACTAAATCAGGAAAGGATCTTGAGCCAGGACTAAAAGTCAATACACCCGAAGTGTTTTTGCACAAAGTAAAATCCCTGGTGTTAAATTTAACACCGCTCTGTGTTTAAATGGGAACCACCAGCAGGGTGTTAAAAGTAACACTGATACAGTGTTAGAGTAAATTAGTTAATTAAGTCATTAATTTAGTGATGATTGAGCATTGAAGACACCTGATGATAACAAGCAGAATCACTGAAGAAAAGAGAAACACAAGAACTACATCTGACGGAGATGAAATCAACTGAAGATAAAAGACGACATTAAATCGACCATTCTCGTTCGTGGTTCGACTGTTTTTCAAAGATGGCTCTTGCCTTGATATGCAAAATGTAAAGTATCTTATTATTAAACTCTCTTTACACCTACAAAGTTCTCAATGCTTCGTTTTGCAGGTAGAGACCCTCATTTATGCTACCGTGTTACTGTGGGGTTATTTTGATTCTTGTTAGTGGTATTAACTAGCGATTTTTATACGTACTTATTCGATGCCCCATACAAGCTAATCTGTGGTTAAACTAAAAATAACGTTAAAACTGGGTACAGTCGATTATCATGAAAACGCATCCCATAGAATGGTCGACTCGGTACCCATGTGTTATTTAGCCCTAGGTTCATTTTTAACCAGAATTGTCCTTTAAGCTATTGACATTATTAGATTTTGTTTGGCTGCTGTAACTGAGTTATATCTGCCAGATGAACAAAGAGAAAAGGTGATCTGATGGTGTTGGTTATGTTTTAACATAATCATTATTTGACCTGCATCACAAAACTAATTTAGAGCCTAATCTTAGGAATGGCTGAGTCGAAACAGACGTTCCGAAGCTTTTCGAGATCCTGAAGCGCAGATGTTTCGAAACACTGATCCGATGCGTGATTCAAAACACCCATGTCACGTGACTACGGCTAAATGAAGCGTCAGAGGGTTTCCACAGGTGGCATGGTCCGCCGAATCAGCGTTTGATTGACAGGGTCAGGAACAGACCACACAATCACACATCTGTATAAAAGTGAAGTCAACGCATGACCTTGTGGGTTTTTGTGAGAGGAGTTTTTCAAAGGCTGTAGAAATTATCTGTAAATAAAAGAAGTAGGCTAAGTCCTTCGACAGCAGAGAAATTAATATTTTTGAATAAAAATCTATAAAAAAGTGAGACATTGTGGCTTGATTTATTAATATTAATTTTTCATGACCAAAATAACATTCTGCACAGTGAGGAGCCTACAGGTTGCAAGCTTCACATAATTACAAAAATACAACAACAAAAAAATAATAATAAAAAAAAATGAATGGCTCATTGTCAAGGTTGTTTCAGATCAACACCTGCAAGTGACCACTAGGTGTCACAGTGGAGACGGGTGTCGGATTGTTTCAAATCCTCAACACAATATTTCTCACAACAGGATTTCTTAAAAAATGTTCTGATAAATTAAAAATAAAATCTTTCTTTTAGCCACACACAGACATCAATAATCAGTGTATGAATCTCAACAATGGTGACAAACAGAATATTCAATTGAAAAAGGAAATTATTAAGACAATTCAGACAATACCGCACTGCATGATGGGAGCCATGAATGAATTTTTGATTGGTGACACCCAGAATGCACTGCAACATGCTTTATTATTGTCACCATTGTTGAGATTCACGGGCTGATTATTGATGTCAGTGTGTGTCTAAATAAAATAATTTATCAGAGTATTTTGATCAGAAAACTTTTAAGAATTATTTTGGATTATATTGAAAATGCTGAAAATTGTTTGCTATTGAATCACTATAAAACTCTCTAATCAAGTTTAGTGATGCAGGTCAAGGGATGATTATGTTAAAACATAACCATCACCATCAGATCACTTCTTCTCTTTGATCATCTGGCAGTTATAACTCAATTAAAACAGTCAAACAAAAATTAATGTTAAAAGTTAAAGGGTCACAAGCCCAACTAAAGCAAACACTGATCACCATAATGGTGCCTTAAAATTTAAATTTTCTCCTTTGGTGATTCTGCTTGTTAGCCTAACATCAGGTGTCTTCAAAAATGGTCAATCATCACTCAATGAATCACTTAATTAGACACCACTTTAGTTGGCTGAACTTGTTGGATGTAGTTTAGAAAACTTAACTTTGGCCGAACTTAGATTCAAAGTTTACTCAACTAAATTAAATCAGTTCATTGTACTTTATAACTTGTTAGGTAAACCTTTCCAAATTCTTCAGGTAAACTTTTCGAAATAAGTTAGTTAAACTAAAAAAAAAAAACATGCAAAAAGATAACACAAAATAATGAGTTAAGTCAACAAACATTTTTTTACAGTGTATGACTTATTCTGTCTCAGAGATTTATTTTCAGGTAGCTTGCTTTAAAAATGAATACATAAATAAATAATATTGTAAAGTGATGAAAAACGTAATTATACAAAATTTAATTATTTTTTACCTGCTTTTAGAAGACATTCTTCTTGTTCTGTTGTTGTTTTCTCAGTCCATGAGTTGTCTGTCTGCATATGTTCATCTGTTAGAGAATCTTCTCTCTGCTGAGGTTCATCTGTTTTTAGAGAATCTTCTCTCTGCGGATGTTCATCTGCTAGAGAATCTTCTCTCTGCTGAGGTTCATCTGTTAGAGATTCTTCTCTCTGCAAAGGTTCATCTGTTAGAAATTCTTCTCTCTGCAGAGGTTCATCTGTTAGAGATTCTTCTCTCTGCTGAGGTTCATCTGTTAGAGATTCTTCTCTCTGCAGAGGTTCATCTATTAGAGATTCTTCTCTCTGCAGAGGTTCATCTGTTAGAGATTCTTCTCTCTGCTGAGGTTCATCTGTTAGAGATTCTTCTCTCTGCAGAGGTTCATCTGTTAGAGATTCTTCTCTCTGCTGAGGTTCATCTGTTAGAGATTCTTCTCTCTGCAGAGGTCCATCTGTTAGAGATTCTTCTCTCTGCTGAGGTTCATCTGTTTGAGATTCTTCTCTCTGCTGAGGTTCATCTGTTAGAGATTCTTCTCTCTGCTGAGGTTCATCTGTTAGAGATTCTTCTCTCTGCTGAGGTTCATCTGTTAGAGATTCTTCTCTCTGCAGAGGTTCATCTGTTAGAGATTCTTCTCTCTGCTGAGGTTCATCTGTTAGAGATTCTTCTCTCTGCTGAGGTTCATCTGCTTTTAGAGATTCGTCTCTCTGCTGAGGTTCATCTGTTAGAGATTCGTCTCTCTGCTGAGGTTCATCTGCTTTTAGAGATTCGTCTCTCTGCTGAGGTTCATCTGTTAGAGATTCTTCTCTCTGCTGAGGTTCATCTGTTAGAGATTCGTCTCTCTGCTGAGGTTCATCTGTTAGAGATTCTTCTCTCTGCTGAGGTTCATCTGCTTTTAGAGATTCGTCTCTCTGCTGAGGTTCATCTGTTAGAGATTCGTCTCTCTGCTGAGGTTCATCTGTTAGAGATTCTTCTCTCTGCTGAGGTTCATCTGCTTTTAGAGATTCGTCTCTCTGCTGAGGTTCATCTGCTTTTAGAGATTCGTCTCTCTGCTGAGGTTCATCTGCTTTTAGAGATTCGTCTCTCTGCTGAGGTTCATCTGTTAGAGATTCTTCTCTCTGCATAGGTTCATCTGTTAGAGATTCTTCTCTCTGCGGAGGTTCATCTGTTACAGATTCTTCTCTCTGCAGAGGTTCATCTGTTAGAGATTCTTCTCTCTGCGGAGGTTCATCTGTTACAGATTCTTCTCTCTGCTGAGGTACATCTGTTTTTAGAGATTCTTCTCTCTGCTGAGTTTGGTCTGTTTTTGGAGATTCATCTAGCTGCGGAAAAAAAAATATGCTTGTGTGAGTTACAAATTATGTAAGGAAACATAGGCTAAATATTAAAGTGAATGATCAATCTGGTTCTGATATTTCTCCCCATTGATTTAATATATATATATATATATATATATATATATATATATATATATATATATAACTAAGCAACTTTCTGATGAAAGACAGGCAAATACCTCATACACTATAAAACAGTTTTATGTACTAAACTAGTTCACTGCACTCACATATTACCAAAAGTTATCCCAGCATGAAAATTGGATAATAATTGGTATAATTAAGTGATGACTGAGCATTAGTGATGAACACCTGCTGTTAACAAGTAGAATCACTGAAGGAAAGAGAAACAAAAGAACTAATGATGGGCAAATTAAGCTTTGGTTAAGCACTGAACCACTAGTTTTGAAAATGGGTTCATTTCTCAAAGCTTCATCAGTAACAGCGACCTCGCTGCCAAGACTGCATCTAAATTATCCCGGCTAGATAGTGGACAGGAGGCTTTAAGACAAGTGAAATTAATCTAGTGCACACACCTATCCTTCTATTATATCACCTAATGTTTCTTGTAAACTGCCATATTTGTGAAAATGACTATCGCCTGTTTAACGACCTAGATTCCAGATTATCCCTGCACTGATTTATTTGCTCATATACCTGTATATACTTGTGTTTTGGATTTGGGAGATAGGGGAGACCGACGCCACTTTTCTGTTTGATCTTTATTGCCTGTTTTGGATTATGGAGTTGGGGAAGTAATTGTATCTTATTTTGTGTATTATGGCAGTAAGAGGTACAGTTATTTTTGTATTTTTTTTTGTTATTTTGGGCTTTGTCGGCTCCAGATGTAAAATCCCCAATTGTATTATAAACCTGTTAATTTCAATAAATATTGTTTAATTCGCTTTTCAATAAAAATAAACCATATCGTTTCCTTTTTTTATGTTACGTACTTTGTCCTACCGGGGCGTAACAATGACAATCATCATTTAGTGACCTGATTCACTGAACTTATTCAGAGTCTAAACAGGCGACATACTATTAGTTTTATTCAAAACTGTGATTCTACAGCAGAAGTGCCAGCAATGTTGTGAGTGACCTTCAGATAAAATTAAGGATTTAACAAACAGTGTGTGCACAAAATGTTTTCATGTATTTCATTACTTCTTCCTCTTTTCTGAGTTTTATGGTGGGACGCAACCAACTTGTTCAGGTGCATTCCACCACCTACTGTACCGGAGTGTGTAATATCAAGGTTTTATTACTTCAGGTTATAGATTCAGTGAAACCACAAAGTAAATAAATAAATAGAAAAAAAAAACTAAAATAAAGGGAAAAAAAAAACATATGTTATGGTCTAATCCTTTAGATTTGAGAAAATTAAAGAGTGCTTCGCAGCACTCTCTTGTTTCCTCACTCATCCCTAAAATCCCCGTCCTTGTCCATATCTTGTCACGTTAGATGTTCCTCTCAGAATCATATTTACTACACTTCATGATGACATGCTCGACATTTTCAGGAACATTACAAACCTCACATTTATCAGACACACATTTTGCCATTAAACACAGTGTTGATTTTAAGCCAGATGTCCAAACCTTAATCTTGGAAAAAAACACTTAATCTCTTCTACATTTCCATTTGAAACCCTTAAAGGGATACTCCACCGTTTTTTCATATTACACTATGTTATTCACTTATCTAAGACGAGTTGATACATACCTCTCTCGTCTCAGTGCGTGCACTTAATCGCGCTGTCGGGCGGAGAACTTTGAGAGCAGTTAGCTTAGCCCCATTCATTGTATATGGGCCAAACAGAGATGAAGTTAGAAGCGACCAAACACATCCACGTTTTCTCTATTTAAATATAGTTACACGAGTAGTTACACGACCAAGTATGGTGACACTAAATAAAATGTGGCGCTTTTTATAAGCGGGTAAAATGGATAACTATAATGTATGGCGGAATAGCACTTATTGGGAGCACTTCGACTCGGCGCTGTAATATCTTCACTCGTGAAAAGTCCTCTCCCCCTCTCCCTCTCCCTCTCCCTGTCATTTCCGTCAATAGAACCAACGTGACCTGCACGCCTGCAGTAGTAGCCTAGTAGTTTTTTGTGCAGAGTTGACGAAGTATCAGGGAGAGGGAGAGGACTTTTCACGAGTGAAGATATTACAGCGCCGAGTCGAAGTTCGATTCTGAAATTTAATGGAATATGGACCTGTTTTTTAATGGACCTGTTAATGGAATCGAAAATTTTCGATTCTTTTATTTTTTTAATACCAACACCTTGTCTAACATTGTTGAGTGTTACCGTGCCACACAGTGAGAAACTTTCTACACCGGGCGTGACAAAGCGACTGTTGAAAATCCATTTGTCCTTCCTATTAGACGTGGTTAAAAAGTATATAAATTATTTTAAAAAAATTTAAATGACCGATCGTTTCGCTAGATAAGCCCCTATTGCTCAGCTGGGATCGTGCAGAGCCGTATAAAGCTCTTCAAAGCCCTTTGAAACTGCATTGATTTGGACTTCAACAATTTGGTTACCATTGAAGTCCATTGTTTGGAGACAAATCTGTTTTCCTCAAAAAAACTGATTTTCTTTTCCACTGAAGAAAGACACATCTTGGATGGTAATGGGGTTAGTAAATTATCAGAAAAATTTCATTTTGAGATGAACTAATCCATTAACCTGGCATTTGCGCTTGCCGTCTTATTTCTCTTGCGCACGCTCTCGCCTTTTACAAGTCAATCAAACAACTGTGGTGATTATCAGAGAGAGAGAGAGAGAGAGAGAGAGAGAGAGAGAGAGAGAGAGAGAGAGAGAGAGAGAGAGAGAGAGAGAGAGAGAGAGAGAGAGAGAGAGAGAGATCATTAATTGCATGAGTCATATTGAAAGGCCAGACTTAAAATGCAGGCCACTAATGGATCATTTACCATTGAAACCCCAGAAAAATCAAAGTCAACCACTAATAAAGACTATGGAAAGGTATTAGCATGTTCATATGTCACTCGCCTTTTTTTCTGTTTGAAATGTCCCACAACCTAACTTAAAGACTCAGGATTTAATGTAGAATTAAATCATTTAAAGATGAATTGTAAATGTCATAATGGTGAGAGCAGTTTTCCTGGTAAAATATGCACTCTTACCATCACAGCTGCTTGTGTCTGTGATTGTTCTTCCTGTTGTGATCCATTCATTCCTGATCGACCCCCAAGAACTCCTAATCCTCCGATTAATCCTGATGCTACAGCTTCTGCTGCTGCGACACCTACTGCTGTTGATCCCAATGCTGCTGATCCTGGTACTCCTGATGCTGCTTCTCCTGCCTGAAATCCTGCTGTTGATAATCCCGATCCTCCAGTTACTTTTACTGTGGACAATTCCTCTTTTTCTACTACTGTATGCCTTTGTTCTGCTGCTTCTACTTTTTTTACTTGATCTACCACCCACTTTACTGTCTCTGTCGCCCACTGTTTTACATTTATTACCCACTGTAATTGTGGTCTCACTACTGCTACTATTGCTGCTCCTGCCATTGCTCCAACTACTGCTGATCCTCTTTGTGTTTGTGTTCTTACTAATGATTGCAATATTGCTGCTGCTGCTGTACCTGCTAGGCCTCCTGTTACTGCTGCTACTGCTGCTGCTCCCATTGCTGCTACTGCTCTCACTTCTGGTTCCCATAATGATCTTAATGTGCATAATCCTGCTCCTGCTGCTGCTCCTGCTACTGTTCCTGCAACTGCATCAAGTGCTGCTGTTGTTCCTGCCATAACTACAGTTGCAACTGCTGCAACTACCATTGCTATTACTGTTAATTTTAAAGGTGTTTGTCTCCATGTTTTTGCTGGTACCGGTGATTGTACACTTTTCATGTCTTTTCCTGCTGCTCCAATTGCAGATGCTGCTATGGCTTTTTCTGTTCCTGCACCTGCAAAAATGTAAGGAATAAGAACTTATTTAATCATAGAAACCCCTAGCCCCTTATAGCCCCTTCCACACAGGGTAAATTACCGTAAAATTGCCAAAAGGACTTTACCGCTAAATAAATACACAAAAATACGGTGTTCACACAAGCAATGGCATTCTGTTTTTTTACCGGTAAAAGACCATTCACAAATCAGCTCCAAAATACCAGTAAAGTGATTTCAGTAATCGGAAGTGATCTTTAAACACTGCGCTGTTTTTCTTCATCCGCCCGCATGAGGAGAAGTGCTTTAGTTTCGTTAGCTGTTCAATTAATCCATATTTTCTGACGTCTAAGTTAAAGGTTTTTTTACTTTTTAGTTAGTTAAAGGTTAGTTTTTAACTTTTAAAAACTGTTTATTTTAATGTAATTTCACTTTTGCAAAGCAACTCACAGACAGTTTGTGTTTGTCCAGAAATCATGAACATAAAAGACGTGTGAATCACACATCTTTGGATCATGAGAGAAACCAAATCTGAAGGAAAGACTTTCTGACTCAGACACTTGTGCTGCCCTTAATCACAGGCATAAAATACAGATACTTTGACTATTTCCGTCAGATAATATAGAAGATCTTGAATTAATTAGCAGGGGCACTAATTCAAAATTAGTGGCGTTTCCTAATTTTTTAGGAATTTTTAATTTGTCTTTTTTTTTTTATCGCATATTTCAAAGCCGCTGCTCTGATTCTGATTAATCACGCGTCTTTGGCTAAATCAGCAAATGGATTTATTCAGAATTAAATCAAACATAAAGGTGCTCATGTAAACAGTGAAGCACATCTCACGCCAAGCATTGTAGATCGTTACACAGAAGCATCATGCCCATTAAAACAGCACCTGTCATGTCCCCTCAGATTGTTGAGCCAGCTGCATTTTTAATGTATCTTACAAAAACAGCAACAGATACAAACTTTTCCATATTTCCCCCTTGATTTCCATGGGCATTTTTTCTACACTTTTAAAATATGCTTAATTATGTCAAATTCTTAAATTTAATTAATACATTTAATTAGAATAATGAAGCACTATATCTTTGCCCGGCAGATCTGGGACATACAGAAGCTGACTCTGAAGTGGCATTAGGCTATATTTACATAGAATGTTTAATGAAGAGGATGCATTATTGCATTCCCACTGCAATTACAATCGCATAAATAATGTGATTTTTTTTTTTTAAATACAACAATTTGGATATAGAAATATTAAAATGATGGAAACAATAAAATGGTACTTTTACATATGAAACTAAAACAGCCAGAAGGTAGAGGCAAGTCACTGTTTTAATCAGTGAGTTTAATCATTCACTCAGCTGATTAGTTCAAATACACTGATTCATTCAGTATGGAAACACCATATGTGTTTCTCAGAAACGCAGCGGTACTGCTGTAGAGTTTGGATTTATACAAAACAGTTAAACATTAAAAATGAAACCATTAAACAGTCTGTGTAAATATGCCTAATGCCACTTCAAAGTCAGCGGCATTAGTGATTTCGGGCCAGAGGACCGAGTCGGCTGAATTCACAAATCATGAGGAATGAATTGCTATAAGTACATTATGTCTTTGCAGTGCAGAGCAAATTTATAGCCAAAAGCCATAAGTCAAACCACAACACGAAAAATAATCTCTTAGCTCTGTTCTTGGAATGTTCTGACCAAATTAATGGGTTTTAGCTTTTTGATTCAAGCATCTGCTAAATGAATAAATGTAAAAAAAAAGTCAAACCTGTCCTGAGGGAATGGATTCCAAACAGCAAGCTGTAGTTTTCTGCAGGATGAGGTCTCGTCTTTTGCTATCTCTTCACTTGCACTGCATTATGGATTTATAGTGTTTCTCAGCCAATCAGAAATGCATTGGTAGGTGATGTCAGATGTCTCTTGTTCTAGTAAATCTCATGACATTAAAAAATCCTGCATAATAGAGGGTCCGGGTGGGGCTCAGATCAACTGGGGCTGTGAGGTGGTTTCCAACAGGGAGATCTGCTGAGGTAATGGATAAATACTCATAAACTCAGTAATGAATGCTGGGGAAAGGCTTGCAGATTTTATATTATCAAGGGCCCGAAAGGAAATAATTAAATTAAAGGTGATCTAAGCCAGTTTTTCCCAACCCTGCTCCTGAAGGACCCCCAACACTGCAAGTTTTCTTTGTCTCCCCAATCAAACACACCTGATTCAACTCATCAGCTCATTATCACATGGGGATATATGATATATGTGACAGTCATTCCGGCCAGGTATGAGGGACCGCTACGTTAGCCCTACAAAGGAGAAAGGATATCCAGAGAAACCGGCAGAGCAGATCCAAACAGCGACACTTAAATACGTAGCAAATTTTTTGTGGCTGCATGCTCACAGTTATTCTTTGTAGGATGCCACTTTTACCCACATTTATGATGTAAGTCATTAATGGTCTTTATCATTTCATCTCTAGTTTAGATCGGAAGTCTATTCCCATTTTCATCTTTGTCAAGGTAGTGGGAAACATTATATTTTTTCCTTCCCATTCGACCAAATACACAATTAGAAATCTTGATCGTTACGGGACCTATTGAGGTAGAACAGATGGTTATGAAATATTTAAATTTGTTAGCACAATAATGTCTAGTGAATTTGACACATTGTACATTGTTTAGCACATAGTTTTACATTGATTGTAATTATCCAAATGTAATCATACACTATTTTTAAGACGGGTTTCAAACTTTTTGGTTCCAAGGACTCCCAAATATGATGATCCCCTTGTGAGGCTCTTTCTTTAGGAGTTTACACGGTTGCCTTAAAATTATGAGTTAAATCAACTTCAACACAACTTAAAACAACAAAAGCTTTTTTGTTAAAACAAATTATTATGGAATAACAACACAAATAAACCATAACTTTAACATTTATTATAACATTCACAAAAATATGAATTAATTGAATTGTCTGACAAGTATAAATTATACTTATTAAATTATAATTGTATTATAGTATACATTAGTATGATATAATTAACTGCTGCTTGAATAAAAACATAAAAACACATTAAAGCAACAATACGACAATTCACCATGACGTCGCAACAGTAATAGACGTTCTTCCGGGTGGCAAAAGCAGAAGCGTTCCTATGGCCAGTAAATTGCTCGGAAGGGAAACCAACTGTCGACAGTAAAAAAGTAATAAAAATAACAAATGTAATTAAATATAATGCATTTTTTTTAATCATAATAACAACTGTGTTTAATGATATAAGTAAAAAATATAATAAATATGTAATATAGTAGACCTACACATAATTAGCTAAATACTCTCTAGCTCTTTTTTTTCTAAGCAAAATAACCCCAAACACAACACGTTTTCATTATCGTTTCAACTTTTATCAACAACAATGTTTTTAACTATGTAACTGTTACAGTAGCCGGCTGGATCTCTTCAGTTAGTCAGTAGAAGCCGCTCGCGTTCTGCCACCCGGAAGTATCTTTTGCCTATTGTTTACAAACATTCTGAAATGCCCTATACAAGCATGCTATAAATGTCAAGCATGTGCAAGAATAAACAAATGTCAGTGTGATGACATTAACATCAGCTTGAATTAAGTGCAATAGAATTAAAAACAAAAACCCATTTAATGAACATGACGCATGAAAATAATTTTCTCAAAACAATATTTTATTTCTCAAACAGTATTAAAAGGGTTAGTTCACCCAAAAATGAAAATTGTCATTACTCGCGCTCATGTCGTTCCAAACCTGTAAGATATTCATTCGTCTTTGGAACACAAATAAGGATATTTTTAATGAAATCTGAGAGCTTTTTGTCCATCCATTGACAGCCTATGCAACTACAGTATCACTTTCAAACCCCAGAAAGGTAATAAAGACATCATTGAAGTAATCCATGTGACTCCAGTGGATTAACCTCAAGTTTATGAAGCGATGTGAGTGCTTTGTGATTCACTTATTGTGATTAAATTATTTTAAACCAGTAATGCTTTAATAAATGTAGGTCTTGGCCACGTCAGTTTAAAATAGCTTAAAATTATTTCAGTTACTCCAAAGAACTTTACAGTCTACCTGGGGTAGACCCCCTCCCCTGAAAAAAAGAAAAGGTATTGGCCAACCCCAATATTTGCACAAAAAAAATTTGAACGTGCGTTGGAGATTGATAGATTCATATTTTGTAAATATTTTTATTTTTGTGCAAATAAAGCACTCACATCACTTCCTAAACTTGAGGTTAATCCACTGGAGTCACATGGATTACTTCAATGATGTCTTTATTACCTTTCTGGGGCTTGAAAGTGATAGTTGCATAGGCTGTCAATGGATGGACAAAAAGCTCTCAGATTTCATTAAAAATATCTTAATTTGTGTTCCAAAGACGAATGAATGTCTTACAGGTTTGGAACGACATGAGCGCGAGTAATGACAATTTTCATTTTTGGGTGAACTAACCCTGCGAAACAGTTTTCTTCATCTATTCCACATTTTTAAAGGCTTACACCAATTCATAACATTTTATAATGAATATTAAGCTTACAATGGTTCAGTTACAAGGATATTCCATTTGAACTCAAAATCTAAAAAAAAACGTGGTTGAATGCAAACACTGTTTTTATATGTAATTCAATGAGTGAGTGTATGTGAAGTGAAATGTGAATGGATGAGCGAGTGCAATGAAAGAACAAAAAATAAACACTTACATTAATGAAAAGGAGAAAATCATTGTGTTCAATGATATCCAACTTCAGAGCTAGCAAAGAGTTATATTTGTGAGATTTTGTTTTCAAAACAGACGAATAAAAATATGTCAGAATGTCAGTGAGTGTGAGTAGGGGAGAGTAAAATCCTCTTCCACTAAACACTGAACAGTTTGTTCCTTACTCCATGAACTCTGGCCGAACATACCTCGCCACCACTTTTTGGAGTACTTCAAATGTATATTTGACCTCCTTGGGGTAAGTGATGTTCAGAGCATAAAGAAGCCCCATTAGTATAGCAAAGGCATTTGACACGTCCGTTAAGCCATCAAGCACAATCACCTCCTCTAACACCACAGCCACATCGATTATTTCCTTTGGGAGGAGGTTTGCAGTGTTCGCCTCTGTGACCACCAAGAGTCCAACATTCATCCCCTTCACCACCTCTTCCTCATCAGTTGGCTAATAAGAGAACAAGGAAATTACAATGAATCACAAAATTACAAATTTACAAAGCCTTTGTAGGCTAACAATTAATGAGTTTTAAACAGAGGTGTGCTTCCATCAGAATAAGGGTATGTGAATAATCTATAGTACAATTAATGGTAAATGTTCTTTAATGTTTTAAATATATTAAACCAGTAATGCTTTAATAAATGTAGGTCTTGGCCACGTCAGTTTAAATAGCTTAAAACTATTTCAGTTACTCCAAAGAACTTTACAGTCTACCTGGGGTAGACCCCCTCCCCTGAAAAAAAGAAAAGGCATTGGCCTTATTAAAGGCATTATTAAAACAAACATGATATACATACCTCACAAATTTTGATGAACTTGGAGGGTTCCTCTTTGAGGAAGTAAGGAAGCCCAAGAAGGACAACTGCTCTTCTACGTTGGTTTGAGCTCTGCAATGAATAACATTGTTTTAAAGGGTTAGTTCACCCAAAAATAAAAATTATGTCATTAATAACTCGCCCTCATGTCGTCCCAAGCCTGTAAGACCTCCGTTCATCTTCGGAACACAGTTTAAGATATTTTAGATTTAGTCCGAGAGTTTTCTGTCCCTCCATTGAAAATGTATGTACGGTATACTGTCATTGTCCAGAAAGGAAATAAAGACATCATCAAAGTAGTCCATAGCCGCGTTTCCACTGCCGGGCCAGGGCCGGGCCGTGCTAGTGCGTGCCAGGGCCAGTCGCGTTTCCACTGTCACTTCCGGGGCTTGATCGGGGCTTACTCGGGGCCAACGGCCAGGATTTCTGGCCCGTCGAATACCTTGGGCCAAAGCGGGCCAGCTCGGGCTAGAGGAGTGGTTACGAACAGAGGCGGGGATTACCTGAGTCGAGAGACAGGAGCGCCGAATGATTCTGTCAGCATTAAAGACTTTTAAAATAATTTAACTCACTTTCATGTTTTAATGCCTTCTGTTTGTGATCCGATGTGGATTCTGATCACCGTATATTATAAGGTAGAAATATTTATACGCGATGCAAAAGACTATGCGCGCTAACCATTACCATAGTAAACATAGTAAACGCTTGAAGATATGCATAGTAAAAAAACATGGTGAACGCTTGAAGAAGTCAAACCATTCATAAAGGCTATCACAATCATGTTTTTATTTTATCTGTCAGTAGCCTACATATACTACATAGTAGTCTCTTTATACCGGACTATCTACTTTTTTTTCGGGAGCTTCCTGTTTCTCTGACTGAAAATATATCTGTAGCTACTGGGAGTCGAGACTGTGCTAACGCTCCTCAGGTCGTATTTTTGGTGGCATATAACATTATTTGTAGAAATTATCATTCTTTCTAAATGTGATATATGTCCTGTAACTACCAAATAAACAGAAACAGCCTCGACTGAATAATGTAAGTGTGTCCTCTTTCTTTTTTGAAATAGACCTAACGGTCGTTTATTTCTGTGTGACTAATGTGCAATTTTGACATAAATTAATTCATTATGATCAATGTATCACTTTTTATTGTAAACCTGTGGTAAAACATCGATGCTTGGGTTTTAAATATTCAAGTAAACAACAAAAATGCCAGCAAACGGCCGCTTTTATCATGTTTGTTTTGCGATGCACGCTGTTTCCAGTGATTTCTTTCTGATTAGTTTTCTGATAAAACTTCCATTTGTTGGTGAAATGATGGGTTAGTGTGACGTTGTTCCAGAGAGGCGTGTTACGGGCGTGTTTTAGTGACGCGCTGTGGAGCTTCTGGCCCGACAGTGGAAACGCAGGCCAGGTGCTACTGGCCCGAGGCTATTAGCCCGGCACGGCCCGTTTAAAGCCCTGGCCTAGCACTGGCCCGACAGTGGAAACGCGGCTCATGTGACATCAGTGACATCAGCCATATTTATTTGAACCCAAATACAGGGACGCACCAGATACACGTCAGCAGCGTCACTGAACGCGGTTTGACAACAGAACTGGAAGAGAATACAATGCTGAATAAAGTTGTAGTTTTTGTTATTTTTGGACCAAAATGTATTTTCGATGCTTCAACACATTCTAACTAACCCAGTGATGTCACATGGACTACTTTGATGATGTCTTTATTTCCTTTCTGGACAAGGACAGTATACCGTACATACATTTTCAATGGAGGGACAGAAAGCTCTCGGACGAAATCTAAAATATCTTAAACTGTGTCCTGAAGATGAACGGAGGTCTTACGGGCTTGGGACGACATGAGGGTGAGTAATTAATGACATTATTTTCATTTTTGGGTGAACTAACCCTTTAAATAAAAACTAGTAGTCATAAGCCACTTTTACACTGTCAGGCCAGTGCAATTCAGGGCCAATAGCCTCGGACCTCGAGCACCGAGGCCAAAATCAAGTTGCGTTGCATGGAAATTTTTATTAATCAGGCATGTGACACTGGAACCATTTTTCTAATTCTAAATTAAATTCACATATACTCACATCATCTTGAAGAGACTGAATCAGGCTTCTCCAATGTCTTTGGCTTGGTACAACCGCAAAAATCCTTTCAGGTACTCATCAAGCCCATGGAAAAGGTCGTCTTAAGGTCTGTGGACACTATGCGTCGAAATTCTGCAGCAATCTAGCAAAATTGCACAAGTAGAATATTACAGTTTTTTTTTTGTTTTTTTTTACAATTGCTAGGACACATTTCTCAATACTTGGGTCACTCACTTTCTCAGTTTTGAAAAGAGTATGCAAACGTGCAGATTGGCCTGTAGTTTTGGTAATGGTTGTCTGTGAGAGACAAGAATTCATGCAAAGAAAGATTATTTGAAAGATATAATCATTGAATGTTTTTTGTGCCAAAGCAGTGATAAATGATCCACAGTTTAGCCCACATAGACCACTGTTGTGCTTACTGTGTGAAGAGTTTAGAAAAGTAACCCAAAGTATTGAGAAATGGGTTCTAACGATTAAAAAAATTCTTTTTTTTAATTTTAACAAAGCTATGTTCTATGTTCAAATAGTCAATTTTACTATTGTGTGAAATAAGTGTTTTAGAATAGGTAGTTTAAAAAGGCAGTTTATAATTCAAGGCAATACTGTATTACAAAAGTAACCCATGTTTTAGTAAAGAATGCTAACCTGTCTCTTGGTAAATAATAGAGATGCACCGATTACAATTTTCTAGGCCGATACCGATTTTAGCCGATTCCGATTTCATTTTTTCAAACCACTTTACAGCACACACAAATATTTATTTTCTATCTTCTCTTTAATAGAACATTTTGCATAGAACATTTTTTGAACAGATAATCGCTATAAAATAGAACTATATAAATTACTCCTGGTGTGGGAAATTCACACACATCTAAAGTGCAGTGTTATGGAAGAACCATTTCTTTTCACATCCAATATCCAACTAAAAGATATTTGATATATTTAGCAAACTAAACTTCTGTATGAAAACAGGTAATGGCAATAAAATAATATATAAACAAAATAAATAAAATAAATATAGCCTTGCAGTATAAAGATATTTATCACACTCACACACACTCACACACACACACACACACACACACACACACACACACACACACACACACACACACACACACACACACACACACACAGGCCTATTGCAATCACTTGTACATCAATGGCAAGTTATATTTCTCAAACAGTTCTTCTCTTTTCTGTGAAAAGAAATGGTTCTTCCATAACACTGCACTTTAGATGTGTGTGAAAATTATAATAAATTTAAACTATTTTCGGACCTTTCGCCGCCTAGGAAATACATTAAATTAATCTTAGACAAAACCAGTTGTGATAGAGACATATTGAATTTTAAAATTACTTACCATAAACAGCCTAAGTTTGCAGAGAAGCAAATGGCGCCTTCCCCAGGTCTGGTCCAAGTTACGTCGTGTAACGTTAATTGGCAAACATGTTCAAAGCTCAACAAGTCTGAAATATATTACATAAAAAGATTAATTTGAACACTTATTGCTACAGAAATATAAGTATAACCGTTCAATCTCTATTACTTATTGCCGTTTCCAGGGTTGCCAGATTGGGCGGTTTTGCAATCTTTTTCGCGGGCAAAATTTGGTTTGGGCGGGTGGATAAAAATTGGGCTGGTTCCGGATCAGTTCGGCGGGTTTTTGTAGCCGAAACACCGGTACTTCAGATCCTTCTTTAAGCGACTCTCTGTTCAGCAGGCAGTAGGCTACTCTCACTCACTCACTCATACACACACACACTCACACGTGACACGTCACACCCACTACAGGTCTGGCTGACGTGCCCCCTTAACTCAGTCATAACAGACACTCCCTCACTAGCTCACGTCACGCATGCCGGCACCGCCCTCCCCTCAAACACACACTAGATCGCGATTCGCGGGTTTTTTCAAACTTAGCTACTGACACTGACAATATGCCAAAGTGGGCAAAATATAGAAAAAGTTACAGGAAAGAGATCCAGACCTAAAGTCATGGATTGCACCGGGTGCAGAAGAAGGAAAGGCACACTGTAACTACTGCAACGCTGATATTCGTGCTCATTTAAAAGATCTTAAAGATCATGCAGCCACCAAGAAGCATAAGGCAAGGTGCCAGCCAACGGTCAGACCATTTACAGTTAGAGTTGGTGAGTCCAGTAACCCTGACAACAATGTCCAGAAACAACGAGAACTGCGAATAGCAACGTACATTGCGTGCTACACGGCCATTAATGCTGTTGATGAACTGTCTGATATACTGAAAGACGAGACAGGTGCATTCCAGATAGCACCTCATTTTAGACAGGAGCTAAAAGAGGACATCGGTGACTCCCCGTTCTCTCTATATTTGGACGAGACAACAGACATTACAGTGAGCAAATTGCTCTGTATATGCATAAAATATCGCTCCAAAAAACACAACCGGTTTATTAGCACTTACTTGGGTTTGGTGGAGCTCTCAGATGCTGATGCTAATGGAATTGTGGAGGCAGTCATTAGATTTTTGCAGGAGTGTGCACTGGACATTGCGAATATGGTGGGCATAGCAACAGATGGGGCCAGTGTAATGGTCGGCAGGCATCATTCGGTGTACACGTTACTGAGACAGAGGCAACCGAATTTACAACTTATAAGATGCGTGTGCGACTCCCTGGATATAATTGCCCACAAAGCGATGAAACAGCTGCCCAGCAATATAGACTAGGGCTGCACGATTAATCGCACGATATTGCTATGCGCATCTAATCAGTAAAGCCGGTTCCTTGATTAGTAGTAAATCACCTTCACCTGCTTTCAGATGGAGCGGCATTTACTACAAAGAGCCGTAGTTAACTGACAAGCTGAGCCATATCGCATTAAAATCGAGGACATATCGCCAACGATATTTAATGCGATATGGCTCAGCTTGTCAGTTAACTACGGCTCTTTGTACACAGCAAAAACTCAGTGTTAAATGAACACACCTGGGAGTGTATATGAGTCCACACTCAAGAGTGTTAAAGTTAATGAGATAATTAAGTGATTAATTGAGTGATGATTGAGCATTATTGAAGACACCTAAAGCAGAATCACTGAAGGAGAAAACCGGAATTTCAGGTCACCATTATGGAGATGAGTGTTTGCTTTAGTTGGGCTCTTGACCCTTATATTATTATCATTAGATTTTGTTCGGCTGTTGTATCCGAGTCATACCTGCCAGATGAACAAAGAAAAAAAATGATCTAATGGTGGTGGTTATATTATGACATTCATCATTTGAAATAATTGTTTGTGATTTATGCTGTTGGTTACAGCATAACTGAGATTCTGCATAACTATCCAGAATTTGAGATATAATATAAAGGATTTTTAAAAGTTGTAAAAAAAAAGAAAAATCTTTCTATTAGGCACACACAGACGTCAAGATTCAGTCAATGCATCTCAACAATGGTGACGAGCAGAATATTCCATTAGGAAAAGTAAATTAC